GAGGGGATTTGAAGGATGGCGCCGCACGGTCCACTGAGGCTGAGGCTGTAGGGCACTTCCCTCCTCCTCTCCTGCAGTTCCTGCTCGTCGGACGTGGGAATGGTGAACCCATGGCCCGATTCCATCAACCTTCAAGGCAGTGGGGGTGGTATAAAGAACAACATAAGGACCCTTCCATCGGGGCTCCAGATTTCTAACATTGTGTCGCTTCACCCAAACTCTATCCCCTGGCACCAGTCCGTGCTCCGGTCCCTCCCCCTCCCTTTCGTGATATGCCTTGACCAGCGGCCATATCTGCTGGTGCACTCGGGATAGAGTCTGCAGGACTGTCAGGTAGTCCGGGTGCACAGCAACTTCCCCTGGCGGAGCCAGAGTCCTTCGCGTGATGGGTGGGGGTGCCCCATAGAGGATTTCAAAAGGTGTTAACCCATGTACATAGGGAGTGTTCCTCGCTCGGAAAATCGCGAGGGGTAGGAGCGTCACCCAGTCCCCGCCAGTCTCGAGAGCCAATTTAGTCAAGGTCTCCTTCAGGGTCCGATTCATCCTCTCTACTTGCCCAGAGCTCTGGGGATTATATTCACAATGTAATTTCCAATCAGTTCCCATAGCTTGGGCTAGGCCTTGCAGGACCTTGCTAATGAAAGCCGGGCCGTTGTCTGACCCGATCGAGTCAGGGACACCATATCGGGGTATGATCTCTTCTAGCAGGACCTTAGCTACCACCCGACTAGTCTCGTGCTTTGTTGGGAAAGCTTCCACCCAGCCCGAAAAGGTGTCTATCAGAACTAGCAGATACCGATACCCGTACTTGCCTGGCTTAACCTCAGTAAAATCTGCCTTCCAACTCCTCCCCGGACTCCTCCCCGCTTCCCTGCTACCTGTATGCATGCCCCTCCGCATGGCCGGTCTCATCTGGGCGCAGACAGTACAGGCGTCCGTGATCTGCTGCAGGCTTGCGGTCATAGCAGGGTACACCAGGCGCGCAGCCGTGAGTAGCTCCGCTAGCTTCCGGCGCCCCAGGTGAGAGGTCCGATGAATGTTGCCAGCCAGGAATTCGCCTAGCTGGCGAGGGAGAATTATGGCCCCGTCCGGACTTCGGTGCCACGTCCCGGGGTCCCTAGCCGTGGCTGTGGGCCACTGTCTTTGTATCCAGTCCAGGTCAGTGGGGGAGTACTGGGGCTCGGACGGCAGTTTGGGGAGTTCTGGCATTGGCAGGGAAAGGGTCATGGCGGGAGTGCTCTCCATAGCCGCTCTCCGGGCTTCCGTGTCCGCTCGACGATTCCCTACAGCGTCTGGGTTGTCCCCCTTTTGGTGCCCAGGGACATGGATGACGGCTACCTCCCTTGGTTTGTCCACTGCCATTAAGAGACGCTGGACCTCCGCCAGATTCTTGAGCTCCTGCCCGTTAGAAGTCTGGAATCCCCGTTCTCGGTAGATGGCGCCATGGACATGCAGGGTGGCGAAGGCATAGCGACTGTCCGTATATATGTTAACCCGCTTCCCTTCTGCGCGTTCCAAGGCCTCTGTTAAGGCCATCAGTTCGGCCTTCTGGGCTGAGGTTCCAGGGGGCAGGGCACTGCTCCATACCACCACCCCTTCGTGGTCCACCACCGCGGCCCCCGCTCTTCTTACCCCTTGTAGCACAAAGCTGCTTCCGTCCGTATACCAGTTCAAGGGGCAGTTCTCCAATGGTATGTCCTTCAGGTCTGGCCTTGCCTGGGAAATCTCAGCCAATATTTCAAGGCACTGGTGACTGGGCGAGACTGCGTCCGGTTCGGGCAGCAGGCTGGCGGGGTTCAAGGTGGATGGGCTGGCAAAAACAATACGGGGACTATCTAATAAAAGTCCTTGATAATGGGTGAGGCGGGCGTTGGTTATCCATTTCCCCGGCGGCTGTTTCAGGACTCCTTCAATCGGGTGCGGGGTAACTATGTGGAGCTCCTGCCCGAAAGTCAGCTTGTCAGCGTCTCTGACCAAGAGGGCTACTGCTGCAATTACTCTGAGACAGGGTGGCCACCCAGCCGCAACCGCATCTAGCCGCTTTGAGAGGTAGGCCACTGGCCTTCACCAAGGGCCCAGCTTCTGCATCAGTACCCCTTTAGCTATCCCTTTCCTTTCGTCCACATAGATGGTAAATGGCTTGGAAGGGTCAGGCAGGGCTAGGGCCGGGGCCTGCAATAACGCGACTCGGAGACGTTCAAAAGCGGCCTGGTGACTCTCTGTCCATTCCCAATCCCGAGTCTCTTTGGTGGCCTCATACAGGGGTTTTGCAATCTCAGCAAAATTGGGGATCCAGAGTCTACAGTATCCAGCCGACCCCAGAAACTCCCTCACTTTCCTTGCAGATGTTGGGGTGGGGATATGGAGGACGGTCTGTTTCATTTCCTCTGTTAACCATCGCGCCCCTCCTTCTAGCTGATAGCCCAAGTATGTGACTCTCTCCTGGCATATTTGAGCCTTCTTCGCACTCGCTCTATACCCCAGTTCCCCCAGGAGGGCGAGAAGCTGCCCTGTAGCCCATCTACAGCTCTCCTGGGTGGGGGCCGCCAGCAGCAAGTCATCTACATACTGCAACAATGTTATCTCCTCATGTTCTCGTCGAAAGGGCTCGAGATCCTGGCTAAGGACCTCATTGAACAGGGTCGGAGAGTTCTTAAATCCTTGGGGCAACCTCGTCCAGGTTAACTGTCTCACTTTCCCCTCCTCCTGCCATTCGAATGCAAAAAGCAACTGGCTGCTCTCAGCCAGGGGTATGCTGAAGAAGGCGTCCTTTAGATCCAGGGTGGTGTACCATTTAAGAGAGGGTGCTACATGGCTCAGGAGAGTGTAGGGGTTTGGCACCGTCGGGTGGATGTCCTCCACTCTCTCATTCACCTTCCTCAAGTCCTGCACTGGACGGTAATCTGAGCTACCAGGCTTCCTGACAGGCAGGAGAGGGGTGTTCCAAGCTGAGTGGCACTGTCTCAAAACCCCCTCTTTCAAAAGTCTGTGGATATGCGGGGAGATGCCGCGCCTGGCTGCTTCTGGTATTGGGTACTGTCGTACCCTGACTGGCTGGGCGGAGGCTTTGAGTCCCACCACTACTGGTGGAACATGTCTGGCGAGACCGATGCCTGTCACTTCGGCCCATGCGGAGGGGTATTTCTTCAACCAATATGCCATCGTCCCCCTCACACTATCCTCCCCCAAGTTCCTGAATAATCTGTGTTCATCATGTACCGAGAGTGTTAGGACATGTAGAGGAGCCCCTTCCCCATCCATAACCTTAATCCCATCAGGGTCAAAGTGGATCCGGGCTCTAACTTTGGTCAATAAATCCCTCCCCAGAAGGGGGGCTGGGCTGTCGGGCACCACTAGGAATGAATGAGTGACCTGATGTTTCCCTAGATGCACCTGGCGGTTGCTGGTCCAAGGGTAGATTTTTGATCCTGTGGCCCCCTGGACTAGACTGGTTTTGTTAGGTTTGAGTTTCCCCATGGCCTGATTCAGGACTGAGTATTGGGCCCCTGTGTCTACCATAAACCCCACTGGTTTCCCCTCCACACAAACAGTTACCCAAGACTCGGGGAGGGGAGCCGAGTCCCGTCCCCTTCAGTCCTCCTCCTCAGCTACTAGAATTTTGGCCCTATCTTTAGCAGTCTTCCCCTCCCCATCTTCTTGTCTCCTTCCCCACCCTTCCTGCTTCTTCCCGCGATATGGGCACTCATGCTTCCAATGCCCGCTTTCCTTACAATAAGCACACTGATCCCTATCTAGGCCTGGTCTGCTAGGCGGCCCTCTCCCTTTGGGCTGACTCCCTACGCTTGCCAAAAGGATCCTAGTAAGTTCTTTCTGACTCTTCCGATTTTCCCTAGCCTGGAATTCCCGATCCTCTTTTCTCTGTCTCTCCTGCCTGTCCCTGTCCTCCTGCCTCAACCGATCCTCTTTTTCTTCCTTACTCTCCCTAGAGTTGTATACCCTTTCGGCAACATGCAGCATCTCCTGGAGGGTCATGCTACCCAGGTTTTCCCGGGAATTTAACTTCCTTCTTATGTCAGGGGCTGCCTGGCTAATAAAGGAGAGCAACACTGCTGAGCGGTGTAAATCAGCCTCCGGGTCAATGGGAGTATACTGCCGGTAGGCATCATACAATCGCTCAAGAAATGCGGCTGGGCTTTCGGTTTCCCCTTGGATAACAGCTTTTACCTTGGCGAAATTTGTGGGCCGTCTAGCGGCCGCTCGGAGACCGGCCATGAGAGTCTGGCGGTATACTCGGAGACGCTCCCTACCTTCTGCCGTCCCAAAATCCCAGTTAGGTCGGCTGAGGGGGAACGCCGCATCGATGAGGTCAGGTAGGATGGTGGGCCGCCCATCATCTCCCGCCACGTTCTTTCGAGCTTCAACGAGGATGCGCTCCCTCTCCTCAGTCGTGAAGAGAGTTCGGATGAGTTGCTGGCAGTCGTCCCATGTGGGACAGTGGGTGTTCATGATGGACTCCACGAGACCTATGAGACCCTTTGGATCCACAGAAAAAGGAGGGTTCTGGATTTTCCAATTATATAGATCGCTAGATGAAAAGGGCCAATACTGATACTGGTGGCCACCTGGGTGGCCAATTGCTCTCACAGGGAACAAAGAAACAGAATGGGGGCCTGGTCCGGAACTAGAGACAGGATCTCCCTCCTCGGGCCGGAGGTTTCCACGTGGACGAAGCCGTCGGCTAGGGCCGACATCCTGAGTAGAGTCTGCAGCCGGACCAGGGGCTGCTGCCGGAACAGGGATGGGGACATAAGGAGGAGGTCTTATCTCAGTGTCAAAGTCTATGAGGGGAGGATAAAGCGAGTCAGAGAGGACCGCCGGTGGAGGATTGGGTTCCCAGGAAGGGTTTATGATTGCTTCAATGGCCTCAACAGCTCCATCTCGGATTTCCTTCTCCCGTGGCTTCAGGGGGCAGTCTGCAGCCCCCCTTAGGGCCACGGCTGCCTTAGCATGAACCTCTTTCTCTGCTTCCTTCTGAAGGGCTAAGATAGGACAGGCGGCAGGATCCCGAAAGGCTGGAAGAACAGGCGCCAGAGGAGCAACAGAAGGGGGAACAGGCTCTGAAGGAGCAACGGGAGGGGGGACAGGCGCTGGAGGAGCAACGGGAGGGGGAACAGGCGCTGGAGGAGCAACGGGAGGGGGAACAGGCGCTGGAGGAGCAACGGGAGGGGGAACAGGCGCTGGAGGAGCAACGGGAGGGGGAACAGGCGCTGGAGGAGCAACGGGAGGGGGAACAGGCGCTGGAGGAGCAACGGGAGGGGGGACAGGCGCTGGAGAAAAGGATAAGAAGGGACCGAGCCATTGGGGAGGTTCTTCTAGGAGAAATTCCCACGTAAGAACATAAGGTAGTTGATCAGGATGCCCACGGGCCCCCGGGCGGGTAACGACCTCTTTTACCCGTGTCACGAGGTTCGGTGAAAAGGAACCTTGTGGGGGCCAGCCCACCCCGAAAGCAGGCCAGTCTGAAGAACAATAAGTGTTGAACTTACCTTTCTTTATCATGAGGCCCATATGCTGGGCTTTCTTTTGAACCTCAGAGAAGTGGCTAAGAATTAAGGCTTTGGGTGTCGATTGATTCTGACCCATATTAAACAATCTCAATAAACAGAACTAAGAGAAGGATAATAGGACAAATACACAGACTAAGGACACACGCACAGATCACACTCCTGCACTCGCTCGGACCGGTCCACTCTCTCACACGGGTGCGCACCACACTCACCAGTCACCCTGGGACTCCCGAATATGCCCAAAGGGCGTGCACGTGATTTTCACCTCCGGAGGGTTCAGCTCTTCCAGGTCTTCTCCCGGCGCCGGATTTTCCAGAACAGATGAGGCCTCCAGAACAGACAGACGAGGACCCGAGGAAACCCTATGTCCCCCCAAGTCCTCCCAGTCAGGGTTGGCCACTTCCCTGCCGCGGTCCAGAACAGACGAGGCCTCCAGAACAGACAGACGAGGACCCGAGGAAACCCTATGTCCCCCCAAGTCCTCACAGGGTTAGCTACTTCCCTGCCGCGGTCCAGAAGGGGACACTGTCCCCCCACAGAACAGACGGAATATTCCCCAGAAATTTTTTTTTTTTTAAGGCCTTTTCAAAACCCGCTCTCTGGGCCCGTTTGCCGTCGGGAGATCTCACTGGGGCCTCCAAATGTTAGGGCGCAGATCGTGATCTCCCTTTAACGACAAAGAGACTCCAGAGACTGCAAACAGCAAGCAAGGTTTATTGTAAGACTGGCTAGCCAGGGTCAAGCCACCTACACAGACACGCAGGTCAGTTAGGTGAGGCAAGACCCCGAACCTCTTCAAAGGGGATCTTATATAGGCCTTCACTGGCCGTTACAGCAAAGCCCGCGCATTTCATAGCCAATAGATTTGTAACGACATATGCTTTCTTAACCAATCCAATTAAGGGTACATCACTTCTTAGCCTATAGATTCAAAGATCAGCATTTACGTACATAGGCATTGTGACTAGTGGGCATCAGGTAACTTGGACATTTGGTTATCACCTTGCTTCCTCTGATTCTCAGCCCTGCATTCCGGAGGTGGATAAGGGAAGAGTTCTTAAGGGAGGTAACAGATAAGGAGGGCAGGAAAGGGAGAGTTACTAATTTATAGAGTTTTAACTCTGGAATCTCCCTCAGGGTCCCTAGGGACCTAACACTATCTAGAAGAGCTATGGAACTAGAGCCTGAAACTAAAGTGAAATAAGAGTTCAGAGAAAGCAAGACTTTATCTTACAAGCCTCAGCTAACTTTAATGAAATAGTAGGCCGCTTTTACAAACTACAGAGGTACTGAAGCCATTAAAATGAAGTTTCCTTATTTTTCTAAACAGTGGCAATTTATAGGATAACAATTGGATTTGTCCATTCTCCCTTGACACAAGGAGCTAAGGTTTATCAGGTTACACCCATCACAGTGCTCCTGAGTCACTTCCATTCCTTTGTTTTTCAGTAACCACTTCTATATGCTCTCCTCCCCAACCAGTTAATCAGCTTTTCCCCTAGTCAGAATCTGTTAATTTGTAAGATCAGATCGTTCTTGGACACTGAACTTGTATTGTAAATTGTGAGTCGATCTGCTAAGTGAGAATCTGTCCTAGAAGAATGTCCTGACTAGTTTGGATGAAGCTAAACATTTTTTCCCTTTCAAACTGCCTTCAGTAAATAATTTCAGTATACTGCAAGAGGCAGCTTCCCTTATCTCACAGAAACCTTGCTGTTAGAGGCAGCTTCTCTTATCTCACAGAGCAGATCTCACTCAGGTGCTAGCCAGGCTGGATCATTGGGATGTAGATGCCAGGCTCCAGGAAGGCTGATCTTTGAGATGTAGATTGATCTTTGATGTGCTAATCCAAGTGCTTGTAGCTTGTAAAGGTGAGGACAAAATTACTGGCCTGCAGATGTAAAGAAGCAATGTATGTTTTGCTGCCTCAATGTTCTTTCTTCTTTTGATGACATCACTATATTGCCCTTTTAGAGGTACCATGATCTATATCTGGGTGGAGGATGCTCGACTCCAATCCGAGTAGGCTTGGAGGTCTCGGGCCCGGAACCCGCGTGGATTTGTCCCCCTGCCAGTACCTTCATGTGTGCGGAGAGTGGTCTCAGCATGGTGGTGGCTGGTCCTGGAGGTCTTCGGCTGCAGGAGCCCTGGTCGGGGCGGGGAGGAAAGTGCTCAACACGCTCCGGATTGGAGTCGAGCATCCTCCACCCAGATCATCCAAATTCCAGTAGGCGGGGGTCACACCCACCACCTTGCCCCCTGGCACCGTGTAATCCCATCAACGGCCAAGACTCAGAGACTATAAAATCCAGTTTCCGGATGAGAACAATGCAGTCTTCTGCCCCCGCGCCTGGCTGTTCCTCGGCGGGGCCCCTTGGAGGGGAGCGGGTTGAGCTTTCCTCCCTGCCCGACCAGGGCTCCGGCAGACGAAGACCTCCAGGACCAGCCACCACCATGCTGAGACCACTCTCCGCACACATGAAGGTACTGGAAGAGGGACAAAGCCACGTGGGTTCTGGGACCGAGACCTCCAAGCCTACTCGGATTGGAGTCGAGTATCCTCCACCCAGATCCTCCAAATTCCAGTAGGCGGGGGTCACACCCACCACCTGGCCCCCTGGCCATGCGACATCTTATCAAGACATCTTTTTATGACATCTTATTATCTCATTCCTACTTTGGGCAAACTTGCAGGCTATCGAATGCAGCCTGCCCACAAGGCAGAGTCTGGCAAACTCCCCGTGGCGTACGAAATATGCCAAATACCAGTAACAATGATGGGTCTCATTCTCCTAAAGAGCCTTGAATATAATCTCAGGGCTAGAATGAAAGAGACATTACTGGGGCCTGCTTGAAGCAATCGACGAATAATAGGATGATGAAAATGATCTATATGAGGAGATTTCAGGGCTCTCTACTAGGAGATCTGAGAGAACAGGGGAAAACATGTTTGAGAGAACCTGAGTTTCTTTTATGGGATATAATGAGACTGTAAGAATGGGCTGGGAGAGGCAGAAGAGATACGAGAGTGAATGGAGAGAGGATTGGAATAAACTGCAACTAAGGTCAAGCAGCCTGGCCATAAGGTTTCCTTCCTTTTCCTGCCCATTGCCATCCACCTCCCTGGAGTTGGGGAAACTACTGAACAAGGGTGGTGGGAAAGATAGATTGCTGCCATCCTTTTTGTGTTCACACAGAAATTCAAATATTTTCTTGTGCTAATATCAAAGTTTGGTTAAAAAATCCAAAGGGTTTTTCTGTGTCTGAAAGCATGTTTGTGTTTTTGTGGAATTGTTAAAAATATCTGGTATAGAAAGCTCATGATTTTAAATAATTAAGGTACAAGAACTATGTCATTAAGCCAAAGAAGTTTTTATCATGTTTTGTAAAAATTGATCATAGGTCTTATGTTAATGTACATATGTGTATCTGCATTGGATTAGAATATTTGATCTAGAAGGAGTTAAAATAACTGTGACACATGTAAACAGGTTCAAAAAAGTAATGGTTTAGTTTAAACATGAGTTTCTAGAGTTATAAAATTTGTTGCAAAATTTGTCCTTACCAGTGCTCTATCTGATCTCTGAGACTGGGCCATTTGGATCATCGGTCTGTGGTTCCCCATCTCTTTCTTCCTCTGCTAGGGACTACCATGCATAAACTCACAGGGACCCCATGGGATGCCAGGTATAGAGCCCATGTCCATTGCTTGCAAGATAATCACATTCCCCCACTTTACTATAACTTTAGGCCCAGCACCACATGGACTTTCCTGAACCCCTCTCGAAGTGATCATTAAGGGATGTAAACCCAAGAGCTTAATAAATCCAAAAATGGCCGAAGATGGCAAGACATCCCAATTGAAAAAAATAAAGTATCCATACAGACAGCACAGAAATGCTGCACTTGCCTTGCTCATGGATAATCCAGGTTCATTTCCTAATATTCCCTAGAGTCCCTCAAGCCATCCAGGAATGATCTTTGAATGCAAAGCCCAGGAGCAAACCCTGAGTCCTGAGGAAGTCTCCCAAGAACCATTCAAGTGACCCTGAGCATTGAAACATGGCAGCATCTGATGGGGTAAAACGAAAAAAAGAATGAACTGTGGTGGGAGAGATATTACAGCAGGGAAGACAAATGTGCTGCCCACACGTACAGGTTGATCCCAGGCAGCCCTTATGGTTCAAGGGCATGGCCAGGCCATTTCCTAAATATATAGTCTTTGGAATTCATAACAAATTCTAGGAAATAAGAGATTTCTGCGTACTAAAGTATACAAATCACAGAAAAAAAGTTGCTTTTCTCCCACCTTACAGTTAATGATTAGAGATCATGTAAGGAAAAAATTATTTTCCAGAAAAAACTTTCTTTCAAAAGATTATTGATGACTTAGGTCAGAACCACTCTCGGGAATTTTCCAACAGGTGAGTCCTCAGCTCATGTCCTCAAGGCATCCTCTTGGGATCTCGTGTACCCGCTTCCCCTGAAGGCTTCTCACACTGGAT